CCCTGGCACCCCATATGGTCCCCGGGCTCCACCAGGAGTGATGCCTGAGCGTAGAGCCAGGAGTCACCCCCAAACTTAAGACAGCACAGCCAGGTGTGGCCCAAAAACCTAAACAAAAACTGTCGCCCCCGAATTAGCAGCTGGTGATGACCAGAGGACCAAGCGGGGGCTGGGACCGAACCAGTCAGTTACACGCAAAGCACATGGCTCGACCCGGTACTGTCTCCCCAGCACCCCCAAAGCACTTTCTTCTCTTTTGGGGGCGTTCAAAAAACCAGTGGTGCTAAACGACTAAGAAACAAAAAGATTAAAAAAAAAAAAAAGGTTTGGGGTTAGAGGCCGGAGCTAACGTAGAACGGGGAGGGCATTTGCCTTGCATGCAGCCGACCAGGGTTCAATCCCGGCATCCCATATGGTCCCCTGAGCAACACCAGGAGTGAGTCCTGAGTGCAGAGCCAGAAGTAACCCCTGAGCATCGCTGGGTGTGGCCCAAAAACCTTAAAAAAAAAAAAAGGTTTGGGGTCAGAGCTCTGGCTCAGAGGCACCTTGACCATGGGAAGTCATTTAGACCATCCCAGTCACTGCACTGGTCCTGGCCCTGGCCCTGTGATGGCCCTCACTGTTGGTCCTGCCCCCCTCCCACCCTTGGTACCACAGCATCTTGAGAACCCAACACACACACACACACACACACACGCACACACACGCACACACACACACACGAAGCAGCAGCAAGAGTGAAAACCAAGAGGAAAAAAAAAGTAATAAATAAATAAATAAAACAAGATGTACTGTATTTTTTTTTTTTTTAGAAAGGGGCTCAGTGAAAAATATACACGTGGGCTCATGGCAATTTTGAACAACTTAAAGGGCTTCAATATCACCACAGGCGCTATTTAACTTTTCCACGCCAGGAAGGAAGAAGGTTAATGTCGGATAAGGCATTGGGTCGGGGGTAGGGGCGGCTTCTGCTGGTGTTCCTAAGCCAGAGAAAACCTTCTGGGCCCGCCTGCCTCCAGGCCAGTGGGAGAGACCCCAAGTTGGGGCGGGGGGTGGGGAATTCATTCCACAGAACTGCACACAAGCAGATGTGCAGACCCTGCAGCTGTGGCCACCGCCCAGGCCGGGCCTGCAGGGCTCTTTAGACAAGGTGGGAGGTAGCTGTGAGCACATGGTTGGTCCCCGCGTGCCCCAGGCACCTCCTTGGGGAGAGGCAGAGGGTCCTCCCCGCAGAGACAGCGGCTTCTTGGCCGTCACCCCAAGGATGCTCAGGTCACTCTCCTGCAGCACCCGCGTGACCGTGAGCCTGACCACCGGGCATCCAGGAAAGACCAAGGTAGCAGCAAGGGCCCCCACCCTCTCCCCAGCCCAGCCCCCCAACACCGCACACCCTGCAGTTCTGCAGGATCTCTGCGGCCCCGGCCTGGTTTTCCCGGGCTTCCACCCCCCAACCTCTCGGTGCCCCGAGTCATCTCCGAGTTCAGGAGTCACGTTGCTGAGGGAGCTCAGAGGTGGCCGGCATGCTTGGCCCAAGAGGGTCTGGTTGCCCGCCAGGCGCCAAACCCAACCCTGGTGACAGATGAGTGAAAAAGGCGGCTGGGGACACGGGCAGCGCTGGACAGCGGGTGGCCAGCAGCCTGCAGTGCTGCCCCTTCAGGGCCCGGCCCCCTACCCTGGCAGATGGGAACTCTGGGGCAAAGGTCCTGGGGCCAGTGCCCAGCCTCAGCCTGACCCATGCTGTCCTCCGACTCAGAGACTGAACTAGGAGCTGTCTCCCCATCCCTGGTCACCCAGCTTTCTCAGCCCCTCCTGCATCTGCCCGGACTGGGGCTCAGCCAGGGGGGCCTGTGCCCTCCAGACCCCACCAGGAACACCCCAACCCAGACAGAGGCTCCAACCTGGCTTGACCGTCCACCCCCTGTGCAAAGGAAGAGTCCCTCGGTGCCCCCTTGGTGCTCTGCCCTCTGTCCAGAAGCTGCAACCTGGCACCTTGGGTTCCGAGGAGAGGACGGGGAAGCCCCAGGGGGGCAGAGGTCGCTACTCCATTTGGGGTGACGCTACTCAACACGCAACCGCTTCTCAAAGCCACCGTGGACCCCAATCCAGAGGTGTGCGTCTGGGGGGAAGCAACTCTACCAAGGTAGATCTCAGGCCTCAGGGCCCCACTCCAGCGGGGAAGGGGGGATGGGCTCGGAGCCTGGCCTGGCCCCCGGGGTGACCCCTAAGCCCAGCTCCACAAGCTGCCCAAGCTAGGAGGCTCAGGGTGCCCTGGTCACTGTAGAATTTTTTTGGGTCACACCCAGCGATGCTCAGGGGTTACTCCTGGCTCTGCACTCAGGAATCACTCCTGGTGGTGCTCGGGGGACCATATGGGATGCTGGGAATCGAACTTGGGTTGGTCGCGTGCAAGGCAAATGCCCTACCCGCTGTGCTATCACTCTAGCCCCGGTCACTAGATTTTCAGAGGCCAGGGGGACACTCCCTGGGGAGCAGACGCCTTCCCTGCCTCAACTTCCCCAAATGCCCCAGCCCACTCTGCCCACTGGGCCTCCACACACAGAAGGGACCCCCTCGGACAGCCGGGCCCGGACACTCTCTCTGAGCTGTCCAAGGGCCCCTGACAGCTTCAGCCCCAGGCCTCCAACCGAATCCTGGCGCGTGCAGGAAGGAAGGGGTGACGTCCTCGGATGCCCCTTTACGACAACGGCCGTTTCTGCTTCTGTTGGGAACCAGGACAGAGGGCACAGGCGGGGGACGTCGCTGTGGACACGCCCGTCCACGGCATCGCAATCCATGCAGAGACTGAAAGGAAGCCGTGGGCGCGGAGGGGGATGGGGATAGGGGGTGGGGGGGTCTAGCTCCTGTCCCCTGGGTCTGCACCTGTTCTGTGAACAGCTGGGAAAGGGTCTTGGTCACTCGCTGCAGGAGAGACCCCACGACAGAGGGGGAGGGAGAAGGCAGACTCCTGGGTGCAGTGCTCGTGGGGGGGGGCAGTGTCGGCGGGCCGGGACCCCCTCCCCTCCACCTGGGCCCTCCATTCCCCAGACTCCGCATCACCCCAAGAACCACCGAAGCTGTTCCCCTCCCCAACCCCCACCCCACAGTCTCAGCATCGATTCCCTTGTGTCCAGCTGGGACCTGGACCCTCGGGCCACCCGGAGGGTACCAGGTGTGGCTCAGCTCCCCCGCAGAGCTCCCTGACATGCATGGACCAAACCCTGCAGACCCCCTTTCCGGTCCAAAGTCTGCGTCTCTCTGGCTCGTGTCCCCCCAGTTCGGATTCACCGGGAACATGAGGAAACAAGGAAACCGTGCCAACAACCCAGGCCCCTCCACGCCCCACCCCGACACCCCCAAACTCAGAGACTCAGTCCACTTCTGGTGCCGGCCCCCAGAAGCCTCCCGTGACACTCCATTCCCCACCCTCCCCGGGGGCAAATGGCCTAGGAGTCTCGTTTCCGGGGCCCCGTCCACTCTCATCATCTCTTTCTGGTTTTGTTTGTGTTTCTGGGCGACACCTGGCTGAGCTCAGGGGACCATATGGGATATCTGAGATGAAACCCGGGTCCGCCACATGCAAGGCAAGCGTGCTCCCCACTGTTCTGTCACTTTGGCCCCTGTCCAAATACTTCTTAGCCTTGCCCCCCACCCCCACCCAACAGCCCTTCCACACCCAGCCCCTGCCAACGCCGAAGTCCTCCCCAGCAGAGACCCACCCATACCCACAAGTCTCCAGCCCCGCCCACTTTAGTGTCACAGATGCAGCCCCCGTGGGCCTTCCCATGACTCCCCGCTCATGCCCCAGTGCAAAGACTCAGGGGTGCTTTCTCGGTCTCCCGGGGTGCTGTTAAGAGAAGCCCCAGTGCGAGAAACCCACCATGCATGGGGCAGGCAGAGGAGGCTGGCCAGACTGCCCATCCCCCAGCGCCCCCGAAAACCTCACAACCCAAGCCCCCTCACACACACCCCAGGTCCCCCATGGGGAGGGGGAAATTGCTCATATCAGAAAACCCTGGGGCCAGAGTGATAGCACAAGCGGGTAGGGTGTTTGCCTTGCACGCGGCCGACCTGGTTCGAGTCCCAGCATCCCATATGCTCCCCCAAGCACCGACAGGAGTAATTCCTGAGTGCGGAGCCAGGAAGAAGCCATGTGCATCACCAGGTGTGACCCAAAAAGAAAAAAAAAAATCTGCCCTGTCCACATGCTCTAAACTCAGTGCTCTAGGGGAAGGCGAGCCCAAGTACACACTCACACTCCAGAACCAGGACTAGGCACGGCCCAAAGGGCCTGAGGCTCCCTGTGAAGCTCCGGCTTGAATCCCAGGAGGGTGTGTCCCAAAGTGGGGTCCTGGGACCGCCCAGCTGCCCTGGAGGACGGAGCCAGATACCCCACCTCCCCCATCCCTAAGTCCATCTTCCTTCACCAGGACCTGGCCTGGAGTCTCAGAGCTAAATCACAGAAAGGGAAGTGGGGATGTAGGTGGGCGGAGACGCTGAGGAGCCCCAGATGGGGCCCTGCACCCCCACCCTCCCACCCCGGGGCTACATTACAAAGATCCAGACCCTCAGAGCTCCCCCAGCCCTGCCCACGCCTGCTGACCCTGAGACTCACTCGATGTGAGCACTCGACGCAAGGAGATGATCCACGGGGACTCGAACCCTGTCAGCAGGCCGGGGGCCTGCAGGTATACAGTGAACCAGAACACAGCCTGTGTTTACACTTGCAGAGCTGGGAGCATTCCTCCAGGAGCCCACTGAGCCAGAACACAGCCTGTGTCTACACTCGCAGAGCCGGGACGGACCGCCCAGGACTCAGCTCGCACAGGACCCAGCAGACTATGGGCTCGGGCTGCCACGGCAAACTCAAGGGCCCTGTGGCACACCCTTCAGGAACATTCCCCACACCGCCCCTTCTCAGGATGCCAGCCCAAAGAGGGCACACGGACGACACCCTCACCCCATCTGCCCAGCCCCCCGGGTGGGAGGCGGAGTCCCCTCACCTGGTAGTAGGTCTTGATATTTCTCACCAGGATGGTCAGGTTCTGGATGCGCAGGGTCACGTCGTTGTTGACATGCTTGTTGATGCGGGGGTTCGTGGGCCTGGGGTCGCTGGGGGAAGAAACGCACCATGAGCTCCAGCCTCTGCTCCCCACGCCCGGTGCACCCCGCCCCGAGTACCACTTCCTACCCTTCCGCCGAATCTGGCTTCTGGTCCCGGCCAGCGCCTTCCTTTCCCTCTCCCAAACCTGGCACCTGAGCCCGAACACAGCCATGAAACCATGGGCTGCGATTTACGCCTGACGGTCCACGGCAGCACTGACCCCCAATGCCAACATAGGCCAGAGTCACAGAGCACGAGGGCCACAGAGATAGTGCAATGGGTAGGGCTCTTGCCTTGCACGCAGCCCACCACCAGGTTCGGCTCCCCAGCACCACATTCGGTCCTCCGAGCCCTGCCAGAAGTGATCTGGGAGCACAGAGTCAGGAGTAAGCTCCAAAGATTGCCGGATGTCACCCCCTGATCCCTCTCAAAAAAAAAAAAAAGTTACAGAGCGTGAAAAATCACTGACTTGCGATGCTCAGAAGATAGAACAAGGAAGAAGGCACTTGCCTTGCACGGGGCTGACCCAGGTTCAATCCCTGGGACCACAGTGTCCCCCAATCCCCACCAGCAGTGATCCCAGGCCACAGAACCAAAAAGAAGCCTGGAACACCACCAGGAGTTGGCCCCAAACCTTTCCTGAATATATATATATATACATACATATATATATGTATATATATATATATATATATATCAAGATTAACAGGATTAAAAGCTGAGCCAAGCTGAGAAATTGGGCAATAGCACAGCGGGTAGAGCATTTGCCTTGCATTCGGCCAACCCGGGTTCGATTCCCAGCATCCCATAGGGTCCCTCAAGCACCGCCAGGAGTAATTCCTGAGTGCAGAGCCAGGAGTAACCCCTGAGCATTGCCGGGTGTGACCCAAAAAGCCAAAAAAATAAAAGCTGAGCCAAGAAAATAAGAATGAAATACTAAGAATGCAAAGAGAGGTGGGGCTGGAGATGGTACGGGGGTGGGGCACCTGCCTTGCATGTGACCCCAGCATCCCACATGGTCCTCCAAGCACCACCAGGAGTGAGCCCCGAGCACAGCACCAGAAGGAACCACTGAACACCGCCAGGTATGGCCCCAAAACAAAACAAGACTGAAAAGAGAGGAGGAATATTTTCTGACTTAATCCATCGATAAAATCAGCTGTGGGTATTTCACTGGGGTTCCCCCCACACCCCCCCCTCAGACCTGCCTTGACTGGTCCTGGTCCTGCCTCAGAGGCACCATTCCTGGGGCACGAGCCTCACTGGAAAACCTGACCCCATCTGCTGTGGAGGAGGTGGCGAGGGTGTCCCCAGAGCATCAGAGGTCTGGAGCAGGCTCCCCAGCACACAGGCTGCTCTGCATGGTCCCTGTCCCCAGCCCCAGACGACGCCAGAGCTGACTTGCTCAAGGGCCAGAGTGACAGTCCAGCGGGTGGGGAGCTGGCCTTGCTCGCTGTTGACCCAAGTTTGATCCCCACCACTCCATATGGTCCCCTGAGCACTGCCAGGAATGATTCCTGAGCACAGAGCCAGGAGTAAGCCCGGAGTGACACCAGGTGTGACCCCCAAACAAATAAAAAAGGGTCTCATTTAGAGGAAGACTGCTGGGTTGGAGACAGCTCAGTAGACTAGGTAAGCGGGAGGCCACGGCACCACGTAGCCCCTGGGCACTGCTGGGAGCAACCTCCGAGCACAGAGCTGGGAGTAACCCCCAATGCTGCCGGGTGTGCCCCCCCCACACACACACCCATACCAAAAACAAAATTAAAACCATGTACCATCTGGGTGTGCGCGGCTCCAGGCACCGCCATCCTCATCCTTCGTAACCAGGGAGATGAGGAGAGAAGTGGGGGTGTGGGGGGGGGGGGATTGGCAAGTATAGTCAGCGGGGATGCCGCTGAGTTGGTGTGATGCCAATGATGAATGCAAAACTCACACACACACACACACACACACACACACACACACACACACACATCCACAAGCAGAAGCCAAGTCAAACCGGAGCAGAGCACAGTGATTCGGGAAACACGAGCTGTTGAAAGTTCAACCCGGAAGGAAGGACGTGGCACATTCAGAAGCCCTCCCCGTCCCGGGGACCAGCCAGACCCTCCACACATGGCATGGAACTGTCAGGTATCGATTCTGCACAATCATCCTGCAATCCCCCACCCCCGCCCCCCAGGAGAGCTGTCTGGAGTGACCAGAGGTCCCATCTCAACTGCCACATGATCTTCCGAGGTCTTTTTTTATTTTTTCTATTTTTTTTTGGGGGGGGGGGGTCACACCTGGTGATGCTCACAGGTTACTCCTGGCTCTGCACTCAGGAATTACTCCTGGCAGTGCTCAAGGGACCATATGGGATGCTGGGAACTGAACCTGGGTCGGCCGTGTGCAAGCAAACACCCTACCCACTGTCCTATTGCTCTATTTTTGGGGGAGTCACACCTGGCTCAGTAATTCCTGTGAGCATGTTACTCCTGGCTCTGCACTCAGGAATTACTCCTGGAGGTACTCAGAGGACCATATGGGATGGTGGAAATCAAACTCGTCGGTTGCATGCAAGGCAAACACCCTACTTGCTGTGCTATCACTCTAGCCCCGTTCTTTTTTTGAGGGAGAGGAACTCCCAAAAAAGGCTCAGGAGGCCGGGGGGCTGTCCTGGGATCTGTAGCCAACTGGACTGGACACTTCAATGCGGGGCCCAGTGGCACATCTGCCCCATGATGCATCGGCAGTGCCAGGAGCCACTGGGGCCACAACTGGCAGCGATTGGGGCCCCATGCAGTGCTGGGGATTGAACTCGGGTCCCTGTGCTTTTCATGCAAGGCTGCACCCTTGACCCCTGAGTTATCTCCCAGGTCCCTTACAACATTTCCTCTGCCCCTGATTTTGCTGGAGCCTGGAGCCTGGCCAACCCACACCCTCTCCTTTGCTCCTAGAGCGCTTCCTTATTGAGCCAATCAAGGTGACCAGTTCCGTGGAGGAGGCCTTGAGCACAGAGAAGGCTTTTAGAATTGAAACCACATGGGGCTTGCTTGCCTTGGATGCAAAGGACTCAGGTTCACTGGGCACTGCATATGGGTCCCTGAGCCCAGCCAGGAGTGATCCCTGAGTGCAGAGCCAGGAGGAACCCCTGAGCACCGCGAGATGTGGCCCCCAAACTCACGAACAAAGAGTACTCCTAGGGTACTGGCAGGTGTGGCCGCCAAACTGTAGCCCAAATTAGTGTTTCTACCAAGATACATCAGAAACGCGTATCAGACAGAACACAGCCATGGAGTTCATGCCCAATTCAATCAGCTTAATCAATGGCTGAACGAATAGCAGTACTCCTATATTATTAAAAAAAAAAAATGGAGCTGGAGCAATAGCACAGTAGGTAGGGCATCTGCCTTGCACGCAGCCAACCCAAGTTCGATTCCCAGCATCCCATATGGTCCCCCGAGCACCGCCAGGAGTGATTCCTGAGTGCGTGAACCAGGAGTAACTCATGTGCATCGTCAGGTGTGACCCAAAAAAGCAAAAAAAAAAAAAAAAAAAAAAAAACAGAGCCAAGGTCTGGGAGGTTACTGTTCCTTCTGCCTCTACATGGCAAAACTGAGGACGGACTGGGGACCAGCGAAACGAGTGTCTCTGTGCATATGTGTGCCACCGCTGGGCTCCCTCCAGGCCCGAGGAAGCGAATTTTATTGGACTCCTTTGGCTATTCCAAGGGCCCTACCACAGGCCACTCGAGCTGGGTCATCTTGGTGGCTTCCTGCATTTCAAGCCAGACTCCATGTCTCCAAGAAGCGTGACAGATGGCGGCCAGAGAAGGGAATCACTTAACACACCGATGTGGGCGCTGGCATCTGTGTTCATAAAAACACACTCAGCCGTGAGCCACCGGTGGGACATGCTGGATGCCAGAGGCTCCAACACTTCTGCATCGACACAGTCATCACTCAACTGACGAGTCTCTCCCCCTTGAAGTCAGCTTTCACCTCTGCAGAGGGGAAGCCTTATTCTTCTCAACGTATTCCTTACTGGGGGGGGGGGGGGGGGGGGAGGCGCGCAGATTATCCTGTGAACGAGTTTTAGAAAGAAGCTCTCCAGTTGGCCTGAGCACAACTCCAACCTCGGAATACTCAACACATGATTTGGAATTTTGCAGCTGGCAGCACTGCATCAGGGATGAAAACGGCGCCTACAAAAAGCAAACCGTGAGTACCAACTCTCCCCCAAGGCTGGCGAGGAAGGCCACACTGGCTCCCAGCTGCACTCCACGGCCAGGACATCAAAAGGAAGGTGTCTACTCTCCCAGGTGGGCATACCCCAGCTCAAGGCTGTGCGTCCCCACACACACACAGACACACACAGACAGACACACACACACACACACACACACAGAAGCCTTCTCTAGTGAGAAGGGTGGCTGATATTTGAGGGCAGTGCTCTAGGAGTGCAATCTAACCTAAACACCATCCCCTCCCCGCCCCACCCCCGACTATAAAACACCATGCCCTTATTACGGATCAGGGAACTGAGGCTTAGGAGGAAGGTTAAGTAATTTGCCCAAGGACACACAACCAGCAAGCGGCAGAGGGGGAATGACTGGAACTTGTCTGCCTGATACTGGAGACAAGTCTCGTAAATAGTTTTCCTGCGAGCCAGTGAAAAATGTGTCCCGGGGGCCAGAGGGCTAATACACTGTGGGTCAGGGGCTTGCCCGGCACACACAGCTGACCCGGATTTGATTCCCGGCATCCCACAGGGTCCCTGAGTTCCTCCAGGAGCGATCTCTGAGTGCAGAGCCAAGAGTCAGCCCTGAGCACAGCCAGATGTGACCCAAAAACCAAAAGAGAAAACAAAAAAATATATTCCCCGTGAGCCAGAGATGCTGGTAGCCAGGAGTCTCCCGGGAGGGAACCCTCGGAGCCCGGGGCCTCCCCTGAAAGCTGAGTGCAGTCCCCAGTCCCACCGAGCCAGGCACTGATGTCACCGCAGGCGGGACCAGGGCTAGCTGGGCTGCCTTCTTCGGTTGCTGGGGGACAATGTGGCCCAGGTCGGTCACGTGAGCCACGGCCAGCCTCCATATGGCTATGAAGTGTTAGGTGACACCCCTGTGGACTCTTGTGCCCGGAGGTGGGGTAGGGGAGGGGAGTGTGAGGGGGCAGGTGGCTCAGGTCCTGCCAGCTGGGAGGACTTATCACTCCTGGCTCGGGGCACCCATGGCAGGTCCTGGCAGGGGCGATAAGGCACGCCGGCCTTATCACAGGCCCGCGGAGCAGCCCCATCCGGCAGAAGGGGAAACAGAGGCAGAGCTTGAAGGGCAGTGCTGGCAGAGGGACCAGGACCAGGCTGCCCTGGACACCAGATTTGAGTGGGAGAGAGCCAGGGAGGATACAGTTATCTGGCAGGCCCAGAGGACACACGGGACAAACCCTTCCCGAACCCTCCACAGCCAACCCTCTGCAGATTAAGACACAGACGTGGAAGTCAAAGATACAGTCCGGGGGGACAGAGGGATCTCTTTTTTTTTTGGGGGGGGGGTCACAACCAACGATGCTCAGGGGTGACTCCTGACTCTGCACTCAGAATTACTCCTGGCGGTGATCAGGGGACCTTATGGGATGCCGGGGATCGAACCCAGGACGGCCGCGTGCAAGGCAAACACCCTACCTGCTGTACTCCAGCCTCAGGACAGAGGGGTTTGCCTCATATGTGGTACGTGCCATCTGAGGCCAGGTGTAAAATATGCACTCTCCCCACCCCGGAGCACTGCCAGGCGTTATCGCTGAGCACAGAGCCCCAAAACCAGAATAAGAAAAGATGGGCACATACCAGCTGGCCTGGGTACCTAGCTTTGCACTGCATCAGGTACACAAGGCCCCGGGTCTCCTACAGCACCCAGTCACAGGTGTGGCCATCACACCTCCAAAGCCCACAGGCCCGACAGCCCACAAGGAGCACAGCAAATCAGACAGCAAAGTGGCACAGAAGCCCACCAAGCTCAATGAGCAAAATCAGTGAGAGAAGACACAGGCAGTCCTCAGACAACCGCTTTGATCAAACACCGTTCAGTGACATAACAATTCTCACAAATTTTCTCTCACTCGCCTATTTTTTTTTTTCTTTTTGGGGCTGGAGCCATAGCACAATGGTAGGGCATTTGCCTTTCGCGCAGCCAGCCCGGCCGAGCCAGGTTCGATTCCTCTGCCCCTCTCGGAGAGCCCAGCAAGCTACCGAGAGAGTATCTCGCCCACACGGCAAAGCCTGGCAAGCTCCCCGTGACGTATTCGGTATGCCAAACACAGTAACAACAAGTCTCAAAATGGAGACGTTACTGGGCCCGCTTGAGCAAATTGATGAACAACGGGAGGACAGTTGTTGTTGTTGGGTCACACCTGGCGATGCACAGGGGTTACTCCTGGCTCTGCACTCAGGAATTATTCCTAGCGGTGCTCAGGAGACCATACGGGATGCTGGGAATCGAACCCGGGTCGGCTGCAAGCAAGGCAAACGCCCTACCCGCTGTGCTATCTATCTCTCCAGCCCCTCACTTACCTATTTTTTGGTAAGTCCACTTACCCTTCTGTTGCAACAAGCAATACAAAACGAATTACTGTGTGCCTGCCAAGGGAGCCCGGCTTGGGGCAGAGGGTGAGAACTTGGGGACAACGGAAGAGGGGAGGTCACACTGGGGGTGGGACTGGAGCTGGAACGCCGAATGCCCGAATAAACTGTCTTAGAAGAACTTTGTACACCACGGTATTTAAATCAAGTTCAAAAACGAAAAGATGGCATATCAGAAAATGTCAGACAAGTCCTAGTAAGTGGCAAGAACTGAGGTAAATGCGGGCAGAGCGAGAGTACAGCAGGGAGGGAGTTTGCCTTGCAACAGCTGACCCGGGTTCAATCCCTGGCATCCCATAAGGTCCCCAAGAACCGCCAAGAACAGCCAAGAGTGATTTTTTTTTTTTTTTTTTTTTTTTGCTTTTTGAGTCACATCCAGCGATGCTCAAGGGTTCCTCCTGGCTCTGCACTCAGGAATTACTCCTGGAGGTGCTTGGGGGACCATATGGGATGACAGGGATTGAACCTGGGTCGGGTGTGTGCAAGGCAAAACCAGCAGTGATTCTTTTTTTTTTTTTCTTCGCTTTTTGGGTCACACCCGGGAATGCACAGGAGTAACTCTCCCCCCAACACACATACTCTCTCTCTCTCTCTCTCTCTCTCTCTCTCTCTCTCTCTCTGCATCTTTGCTACCACTTTCTCCTTCTTCAGAAAAATCTCCAACCCCACGTCCTCCCCCCTAGGTGCCTAGCTGGGCTGGAAGGTGCCAGAAAGACCCAGAAGTGTTGCTGGAAGCCAGCCTGTGGGCTGCAGACCTCGCCCATCCTTCCCCACCGCTAGAGAGACTTGGAAGTAGAAAAGAACCTTTCAGGGCCGGAGCAATCGCAAAGCGGGTAGGGCGTTTGCCCTGCACGCGGCCGACCCAGGTTCGATTCCCAGCATCCCGGGTTCAATCCCCGGCACCCCATAATGGTTATCCAAGCACCGTCAGGAGGGATTCCTGGGTGCAGAGTCAGGAGTAACTTCTAAGCATCAATGGGTGTGACCCAAAGAGGAAAAAAAAAAAAAGAACCTTTCAGACTACCAAAAGTATAGGGGAGAAGCCCTTCCTACAGAATCCAGCCTGGGATGAGGTGTCATTTCTCAAGGAGTGGCCCTCCCTCCTGCTTCAGGAATTCCAAAGGTCAGACAAGAAACAGTCCCTTGCTTTTGTTCTCCTGTGCTTGGGTGTAAGAGCAGAATGGGACAGGCCCGGACACTGCTTTTTTTTTTTTTATTTTAATTAAACAGGCTGGGGTAAGGGCAGGCAGGCACAGCTTTCCACGGGGGCCTACAGGAGTCCGATCTTGTCGGGGATCTTGTCGGGGACCTAGTCGGGGCCCTCACGGGGCCCTCACGGAACGGGGGCAAGGTGAGATGCCAGAACTTGCCAGTGCCACGCGGGAGAAAGCATCCTCATGGTCTTGGACAAGCGCTACCCACAGATCGTAGAATCTAATCAAATTTGCCATGGGTAAGGCTGAGAAGTCTCCGTAAAAAAAATAAATAAATAAAAAATAAATCATACCCCTCCCCTGAAATCAAGTCTCCATGCTTCCCCCACATCACAACATTAAATGACCTCTTAAAATCAAAGGAGCGGGACTGGAGCAATAGTACAGGAGGTAGGGTGTTTGCCTTGCATGTGGCCAGGGTTGCATCGACCAGAGTTGGATCCCCAGTATCCCATCTGGTCCCCCCAGCACTGCCAGGAGTAATTCCTGAGTTCCTGAGTGCATGAGCCGGGAGTAATGGCAAGCATCGCTGGATGTGACCCAAAAAGCAAAAAAAAAAAAAAAAAAAATTCAAAGGAGTCGGGCTAGAGCGATAGTACAGCAGGTAGGGCGGTTGCCTTGCACACAGCCGACCCATTTGGGGACTGAGCACCGCCAGGAGGAATTCCTGTGCATCACGGGGTGTGACCCAAAAATCAAGGGGTAAATCAAACAAACAAACAAACAAACCAAAGAAGCAATGCTCCAGGGAGAGCAGCCGCAGGCTGGGTTAGGTAGGTCTATGTCTATTTTAAACCCCTTTTGAATCTGCCAGTGCCAACGGCAGTGGCCTGGGCTCCTCCCCCTCCCGGGACCATACATACACGAAGCTAATTCTCATTAGCTAATGGGTTGACATGTGAGGACGCCAACTCTCTCTCACTGAGTCTGAGGAGAGCAGGTGAGCTGCTCAGGGCCCGTGAGCAGCGGTGTGGGGCGTTTTGTTTTATTTTTGCATGCACTGCCTGTGAATCATCCTGACACTCCGTCCCAACGCGTCGTCGGTCCCCTGCAGTTTCTCGGTTAAAAACAGAACGGGGTGCAGGAGCCAACACCCCATGTGGCTGCCAACACAGCCGCTGCTGCTGCTGCTGGTGCAGAATGCAGTCCGGCAGGGAGGGACAGGATCCACTCAGCCTGGTGAGGGGGATGCTCACGGTGACCGCCACACAGACCCTGGCTCCAGCAGCTTCAAGACCAACCTCCAACAACACCCGGCAGCCAGCAGCTCCCCAGCCCCCTGGAAACCCAGCCGGCCAGCGGCAGGGGACTTCACCAACCCTCCCCGCTGGCAAGGAGGGGGTGGGGGGGGGGGACAGGGCGGAAGGATGAAAGGAACGCAGACTGCAGCAGCTTCCTAACCTAAAGTGAAACTTTAGTCACTCCCGCCCGCCCCACACTTCCTGTAACCAGACACTCCCCGTTACAGTTCCTTGCCCCCCAAAAGAAAGGGGTTTTCTTATCGCATTACTCAAAGACCCGATTAAGCAGGGGTGGGAGGGGGGTTGAGGTCAATGTTGGTATCTCCGCCTTTGGGGTGACAGTCATTCGGGGCACGTTGGAAACCTGCTTTGGCTCCAGCGGTGCTGACCATCTATCTCCCCCAGGCAGGTGGAAGACCCCGCACAGAGGGGTACCCCAGACCCCCCACCGGCCAGGCTCCCTCTGCCTGCGACAACCTCTCCAACCGGCCTCACCTCGGATGCTTCACCCCTTCCTTCCCGGCGCCCCTGAAGGTCACACTTACATTTGCAACATGATTTGGTTCAAAACGATGCCGTCCGCTAGATCCATGTACATGCTCAGGTTGTCCTGGTGGTCGTTCCCGAAAGACCCAAAAGTTTTCACCTGCGGGGGGCGCGGGGCACACGTTAAAAGAGGGCAGGAAAAAAAGGAAGAAAAAAATAAAGTCACCACCCCCACGTGCAGGCTCAGATGCTCGCCGGGCGCAGAGAGGGGTGGCCGGCGGCCTGCGGCCAGCCCCGTTCGGGGGTCTCCCGGCGACGCAGCCCGAGGACCACGTCCTCGCCCTCCTTTTCCGCAGCTTTTCTCACGCGCGGGCTGAGAATAACCCGAAAGGGCTTTTCCAAAAGCGCCGCAACGTCTCAAGTCCAGGGCCGATCGCGGCGTGTCCCCCACCCCACGCCCTGCACCCCGCGGGGCTCCGGGGTGCAGAAACTACAAGGAGGGTCCCCACAAGGGGTGGGCGCGCCCCCCACCCCCGGGGCCCGGGGCGCTCGGGACCGCCAGCGCCGCGCCGGCGGGAACAGGTGTAGCCGGCTCAGCCCCGGCGTCCAGCCCCCGGAGTTGCCGACGCGTCCGGGGGCGCAGGGGGCGCGAGCTGGGTAGTCCCCCCATCCCGGCGCCCCGCGCCCCCCTCCCCCGGACTCCGCGGGACCCGCTGGGCGAGCGCCGGCGGCCGGGCGCGGGGCGCGGGGCGGGGGTCCGCGGCGGGCGCACTCACCCAGGTCACCAGCGGGCTCTGCAGGAAGAGCTCCATGAGCTCGGACACCGTCAAGTCCATGCCGAGGCCGCGCCCGCCGGCGCCCGGCCCGCGGCCCCCGGAGCGGCGGGCGCAGGGCTGCGGCGGCGCGAGCCCCGGAGACAAAGGCGGGGCGCGAGCGCACGTTCCCCGGCTCCCGCGGCCCCGCGCCCCGCCCGCCGGGAAGGGGAGGGACCGCGCGGGCCCCGCCCCGGGGCGGCCCCGCGGGCAGGGGGCGGGGCGGGGCCTGGGGGGCGCCGGCTCGGGGGACCGGGAACCGGGGGACGCCGGGCCGGTCGCACGGGCATGCGGGATGGGGGAGTCTGGCCGCCCGGGGGACGGGGGAGGGGGAACCGGGGATGTGGGGGGGGCGTCGGCCCGCACGTGGAGACTGGCGGGAGGGGGGGGGGGTCGTTGGCCTGCACGTGGGGAGAGGACGGAGGGGAGATGCCGGCTCGCTCACGTGGGGAGGGGACAGAGGGGTCAGGCTCAGCCCCGGCGTCCAACCCCGGAGTTGCCGATGCGTCCGGGGGCGCGGGGGGCGCGAACTGGGATTCCCTCCACCCCGCGCCCCCCCGGACTCCGCGGGACCCGCTCCGGGGGGCGTGAACCCGCGCCTGGGGAGGGCACGGAGGGGCCCGGGAGACGCCGGCTCTCGTGGGGAGGACACGGAGAGGCCCGGGGGGGCGTCGGCCCGCGCGTGGGGAGGGCACGGAGGGGCCCGCACGCGGTGCGTCCTGCGGCGGGGCCGGCGTGGGAATCCCCAGCAACGTGGGCAGAGGGGCCGAGTTACCCGCACGTGGCCCTGGGGTGGGGACTCAGCAGCCGGGGTGGCCCCGCGCGCTCTCCGTGCGCTCCGGGGGGCGGGGGGTGGCACCTCCCTGCGCGCCCCTTCAGGGCTAGGGGGCGGGGACCAGCCCCTGCCGAGCTCGCTCGCTCGCTCGCTCCCCGGGCCGCCCGAGGCAGGTGAAGCCCCCTTCCGCCCCTCAGTGCCCAGGTGCGCCGGAAGGGTCCCCCCTCCCGCCCGCGCCCGCCCCTGGGGACACCTCGACCGGGAGGAGCCAGACTCGGGGTTCCCGCCTGCGAGGCATCCGCAGCGCGGCAGACGCAGGAGGCCGCGCCAGGAGAAGCCAGCCTTGGGCCGCCGGCTGCTGCTGCCCGCACAGCCGCGTGGACCCGGGTCCTGGCCCCCTGGCCCGCAGCGGCCACCTCCTCTGGGGCTGCGTGACGAGGCAGTCAGTGCTCTGAGCACGATGTTTGATCCGCGCATCCAGTCCCTCACGCGTTTCCCAGCGGGGCCACTGGGTCCGGTGCTGGGCTGCCGAGCGACACTGCAAAGACTGGGCAGTCCATGAGTGAGTGACCGCCGGACCGGGCTCTCAGCCCGTTTGCCCGTTAGGACCCCTCCAGTGTCCGCGCTGCGGCACCTGCTGGTGGACTGTGGCATGGCAGGCGGATGCCGCCGCCCCGGGTCGGGCTGGACAAGTTGGGTGGGGAGACTTGTCCCCCAAGGAGCCCCTGGACACAAGTGTGGGAAAGGGGGTAACAGGACCGGAGGAAGTGAGAAGCTGAGCTCCGCCTCCTCGGCGTTCCTGCCTGTCTGTGGCTCCTGAGCAGGCCATAAAGTAAAAAAAATTTTTTTTTCACTTTTTGGGTCACACCCAGTGATGCACAGGGGTTCCTCCTGGTTCATGCACTCGGAAATTCATGTACTCCTGGCCGTGCTTGGGGGACCATATGGGATGCTGGGAATCAAACCCGGGTTGGGCCGTGTGCAAGGCAATCGCCCTACCCACTGTGCTATCACTCCAGCTCCGGATAAAGTAAATTTTAAAAGATTGTTGGTGCACAACGGGTAGAACGTTTGCCTTGCACCCAACCGACTCCAGTTCGTTTCCCAGCATCCCATATGGTCCCCCCATGAGCACAGCCAGGAGTAATTCCTGAGTGCAGAGCCAGGGGCAACCCCTGTGCATCGTCGGGTGTGACCCCAAAAACAGCTAAAAATAGATAAAAGATTGTTGGCCCAAGGTGCCCGAGAGTTACAGAAAGTTGAATGTTGTACTGGAAGTTCCCATTGCAAGACAAAGCTTAGGAGGGGAAAACAAGGAGGAGGTTTTATTCACCCGGTAGGCTTAGCTCAGATAGCAAGGGTGTCTGGGGGCATCAGCAAAGAGCAGTGATCTCACGAAACATTTTTTTTTTTTGCTTTTTGGGTCACACCCGGCGATGCTCAGGGGTTACTCCTGGCTCATGCACTCAGGAATCACTCCTGGCGGTGCTCGGGGGACCATATGGGATGCTGGGAATCGAACCTGGGTCGGCCATGTTGGCTGCGTGCAAGGCAAACTCCCTAACCGCTGTGCTATCGCTCCAGCCCTCACGAAACATTTTTATTGATTGATTTGGTCACTTCTGGAGATGCTCAGGGCTTACTCCTGGTTCTGTATCCAGGAATCACTTCCGGCGGGCTGTAGAGCATGGTGATGGGCAGTGAAGCAGATAAGACCCGACCTTGCGAAGCGAAGTGAGGCCTCGCAAAAGGGAATATCTGGGCAAAGTTGGCAAGAACAGGGTGTCCGCACGGGTTGTTTGGCCTTGAGCTTCACTCAGCCTCCTAGTCACATGCGCCCAAGATACAGAAACTATCACGTATGCTTAGCAGGTCATCCTAACTACAGCATCTAGCCTGGATTGGGATTGGACCAGGCAAAGCACAGAAGGAGAGGTGATAGACCAAGAATGCTGAACTTTATGTGATTGGACCTTCTGGTAAGCCAAGACCCTCTATAAAATATGTGTGTATCTGGCAACAAAGGAAACAGCCATCAGCTGCTCCTGGAGGGTGTTTTTCCACGTGCCCGTCATCCTTCACCTCATGTCTGTCCAGATCCAGTGTGCAATGTGTCTGAGTACATTGGGGGCAAACTGTTCCCCAACACGGGACCTTATGGGATGCCGGGGATTGAACCCAGGTCGGCTGCATGCAAAGCAAGCGCCCCACCTGCTCTATTATCTCTCTGGCCCCCTCACAAGCCATTTCATAGGGCATTTTCTGCAAACTCATCCTTTCTGCTTCGTGCTCAGTGTTACATGTCAGGGGCTAGAGTGATAGCACAGCAGGTAGGGCATTTGCCTTGCGCGCGGGCTGACCCAGGTTCGATTCCCAGCATGCCAAATGGTCCCCTGAACACTGCCAGGAGTAATTCCTGAGTGCAGAGCCAAGAGTAACCCCTGTGCATCACCGGGTATGACCCAAAAAGCAAAAAGGACATCGTAAGATCAGGCATTATAATCATGGTAATGTCAAGGGAAGCTGAACAAGATCATTTACCACAAGGAAGTCAGGGGATCTTGTAGTTCACGGAATGTACGAGTCAATTCTGAATCGCACGTGACAGTCAGGGCAACCCTGCTTTGAATTTTGAGCCCCATCACAAACAATCCTTGAGCCCAGGGCCAGAAGTAAGCTCTGAGTACCACCAGGTGTGGCCCCCAATGAAAAGATTGTTGGGCCCAGAGATGACTCTATGGTGAGAGTACGGGGCTTGGTGAGCATGAGACCAAGAGTTCGATCCCCAGTGCTGCCTGCATACACCCAGTACAGTCCAGAGACTCCGGGTGTCCAGCTGAGTGCAGCCCTCAGTGCATATCCAGGAGAGTGCACGCAAGCACCGCATCTGGGTGTGTGATCCCAGGAGAGCACTGTTACAAACACTCCCACTCAAGCGAGTGATCCCTAGTGCTCCAGCATCCCAATGGGCGTGTGCAAGCCCTGATCACAACGGCACAGGGAAAGAATGGGCAGGGGTGTCTGCCCTTAAGTCTCCATAGGCTTGGGGCATTTCGCTTCAAGGACCAAACACATCGATCTTCTCCAAACCCTTAAACAGACTCATACATGTCCCCGATAATCACGGTCACGGTCCTCCCGTTGTTCATTGGATTTGCTCGAGCGGGCCCAGTAACATTGTGAGACTTGTTACTGTGTTTGGCATATCGAATACATCAAGGGTAGCTTGCCAGGCTCTGCCGTGCGGGCGAGATACTCTCGGTAGCTTGCTGGGCTCTCCAGAGGGGCAGAGGAATCGAACTCGGGTCGGCCATGTTGGCTGTGTGCAAGGCAAACACGTTACCCGCTGTGCTATCGCTCCAGCCCGTCCCCGATAATATCCCTTGGATTTCATTCTTTGTTCTGAAATAGAATCCTTTATTTTAATTTATTGGGGGATAAAGTTGGGACCTGGAAGCACTCAGGAGTAATTGGGGAAGTGTTGGAGCATGCTTTGGTTCAGTCCCCAGCCCATGTGACCCCCTCGCCTCAGAGCCAGTAGTAGTTCTTAAGTAGATCTGGGGGACAGATCAATAGCCCAGTGGGTAGGGCATTTGCCCTGCCTGCGGCCAACCTAGATTTGATCCCTATCATCCCATATGTCCTCCGAGCACCACCAGGAGTTAACTCCTAAGGGCTGAGTCAGGAGTAACCCATGAGCATTGCCAGGTGTGGCCTAAAACAAAAACAAACAAAAAATATCCCCCAAACAAAAAGCAAATGAAAAAAAGCAATAGGATTCAATATTGAGTACCTCCACCTCATAATGGAGTCATTACCACCATCCATTTGCGTCACTCGTTTCATCTTCCAAATCTGAAGTTTTTCACTTGATCACTTGACATCCCATTACTCATCAATTTGCTTGGGCGAGCGCCAGTAACATCTCCATTTGTCCCTGTCACATGCTAGTGTAGCCCAATGGCGTCTGCTAGTTCCCGGAACATGAACAGCCTCAAACCAATCGTTCAGGGTCTTGACGAAGAAGTCTGACCATCTCGTAGGTGGGCGGCCATGTGATCTTTTGACTCTTTTGACGTTCCATGGAATCCAGTCAGTAATGGCTCTAGTCCAGTGGTTGTCTCCAAATCTCATTACGTGTCCAGCCCATCTGATTTTCGATGTCTTGGTAAATGAGATTCTTGATCATCGATGGAGGTTGGAACTCCGGATTATTTCTCTCACATGAGTGAAGCATGATACTCCAAGCATAGCTCTTTCGATTCCTCTTTGGGAGACCCGAATAGCGTTCTCATCCTGTTTGCGTAGGGCCCAGGTCTCTGAGGCATATGTTAATGCAGGAAGAACAGTGAA